AGAATGAGGCCTCTCACTGCTGATTGTCTTGGCCCATTGATAAGCTAGAGACTGTGGCTGTCTTTAAAATTTCCTTGACAGTGACCAGTGAAATTCCAGCAGACAATGAAGTTTTGATGATGAGAGGGGAAGGTTTGTCTTTGGAACCAAAAGATTGCAGTGTGAGTTCCCACTTTAAACAATCATTTGAAATAGATATATATGCTACTATTTAATGTGATAAAAAATTAAAAAATTTGCAAGCAGTCACCATTGCCTCTTCACCTAAATCAGAGTTTTGGAAACTAAAATCCATGGGCCAAATTTTGCATTGTCTGTTTTATAAAAAAGTTTTATTGGAACACAGCTATGCCTATTTATTTATATGTTGTCTGTGGTTCCTTTTGTGCTATAATGGAGAGTTGAATAACTGAGACAGAGACCATACTGCTTGCAAAGCTTAAAATATTTACCATCTGGCCCTTTAAAATTTGTTTATCCAGGATTCACATCAAGACTTAAGGGACTTGGGACCAACAGTAATGGCTATGTCGCTGAACTCCCATGTAGCTGACCGCGGTTCAAGGCCTGGACCTGGTGGCTTAAACTCACGCCGGGTGCGTGTGCGTGCGTGCCCAAGATCCCGAGAGGAGAATGGAAGAGAAGGGATTATGGCGTGACCATCCCCCCTGGGTGGTGATTTCTCGCTTTCTGTCTCTGTCTCTCTCTGTCTGTCTGGTGAGCGCATGTGCCCTATAGCGAAAAAAACCTCTCCAAAAAAAAAAAGACCTAGTCCTTGTTCAATCATCATGACTTTGGGGTCATCCCCTAGCTATGGCTTCCTATGCAGGAGCTCAGTGACCTGTCAAAACCTGTGGCCTGTACTTTTAATCACTATGTTGCTTTACTTTGCAAGCAAAGTACATGAGGGGTAGTAAAATGTTTATCTCTAAACAATTTAATACCAGAATGTGGGTACATATGTGTCAGATTTGGATTTAGATATTTGATTTTCTCAGGAACTCCAGAGCAGAGAATTATCTTTCATCCTCCTTCTGCCATGTGATCAGAGAAAGTCATTTTACTTCTTTGAGTGTCAGGCTTCTGGTTGGTCAGACAGGTGCAGAAAAAGCAGGCTAGGGATGGATTAAATCGATCACATTAAATCAAAGACTCAGCAAGGTGCCCTGCATGACGAAATTATTCGAGAAAGCATAGTTGTTGTATTATTGTTGTACGAGTGTCTGCCCAGATTCTCTTAGCTGGTTATTAACCACATATTGTTTCGTTCAAATTTTATTTTGAGATGAGAAATCCAGTAGAGAAAATTCACACAGAAAGAAGGAGAAGGGTCTCTAGAACAAGGCAAACACTGAAAATACATCATTATCTTTGTTCTTGTTTCTCTGGTTTCTTATTTTCAACTTCTCAGTTATAAGTTTAATAATGGATCATACAACTACTGTTGCAAGATGCTGTGTCAGACTGTGTTGGTGGGCGTGAGGAGACAGGAAATGGGTTTAAAGTCGATGAAGATTTGGTCCCTTTTTTAAGGAGCTCAGCAACTCTCAGGGACCACAAGCAACATGCTGGGCTACTGTTCTTGGAGTTATCCCTGAGCTAACTGTTTTCCTCTCAGGATTTCAGTTTCTTTCTACCCATCAGATGAGGAGAATCAGTGCTTTCCCATTTTCACCCATAGGGAGGATGGGAGGAAGTTAAACATATAAGATATAGCTGGTCATGGAACCCTTCCCTTCCAAAGACATTGGCCATTATAAAGATTCAGCCTAACCAAAGAATTCCATTAGTAAAAAGATGAGAGTTTGAGATCTAGCATTGTCTCAAGCCTCCTATGGCTCTGCAGACAGTGAAGATGGATGACAGAGTCTCTTACGCTTGTAAGGCAAACTTAATACCTCTAGCTAGGTCTCGCTTCTCAGGTTGAACCAATCACTGCTGCTACTGTTGGCTCACCCTGCCCACTTTGCTCTTCTCTGTTGTCCACCTCTGTAGGCCTCGAGTTCTCCAGCCTTGGCCTAGAAGATAACAGGTTTATCCCAAGAAATGGAGATCCAGTTCTTGTCATAGGGATTGAGATGTGGCATGCCAAGAAATGGCTGAGAATGGCTTGGGCCCAGAACATTCCCCAAGGGCCCTTTCTACAGAGGAGGTGATGGGTTTTAAGAACCTGCCTCCATGATTATAGAATGTAGAAGAAAGAGGAACCAGCCTCTGACCTGGAAGGAGGAAGGAGGGTGAAAAATCAGGCCAAGTCCAACATTGAGATTAACCAACTCTGGACTCAGAATTGTATAATACAACTGTGTTTAGTGTGGGCTTTAGAAATGGGGAGATCCTGTGTGATCTGAGAAATGTACAACCCCTCTCCCCGGGTAGTGTTTACTTTCATTATTGATAATGACAGCATCTACCTTTGAGAGTTGTTTCCTGAAATAAGTAATAATACATGATGAGCACTACCACTCATTGAGCATATCCATGATCATTACCATCATTGTATCACCATTATAATCAGCATCATTATTAGCAATGTCATCATTATCAATACCATCAACATCACCACATCATCATCATATCACTACTGTAATCTGTCAGCATCACCATCCTCCTTCTCACCATTGTTGTCATCACTACCATCATTTTCACCATCATCATTGTAATTATCATATATCATCGTTATAATCAACACTATCATCATCGTCATCATCATCACCATCATCACATTATCACCACCAGCATTCTCATTGCAAGACGCACAGATACAGGATGAGCACATATTCGTCATATCACCATGACTGTCTCTTGCCTGGGCTGGAGGGAGCATGTAGGTGGAGGGGGAGAGGAAATTGGGAGGCAACAAACTCTCCATGGTTATCCATTAAACTGGACATCCTTTCAACCCTTTCTCTGCCGCTGAGATCTGAGTTGAGTCTCAGAGAACGTCATGAATAGATTAGAGATTACTGGGACTGGTGGGCACTTCAATGTTAGTGAGACTGAGAGTAATCCCTGTGACATAATTTACCTTTTATGTATTTTAGTTTTGCTGTAGGGTGTGTATGCTTGCCAGAGAGGGACAGAAAGAGAAAGAGAGTTTTAGGAAAAGTGAGAAGTCAGCCCCCAGCAGAGATGGTCACACAACAATCCTTCTCCTCCACTCCTTTCAGAAGTTTGGGTACCCACTCACACATGCTCAGTGTGTTTTTCAAGCCACTGGGTTCAGAACTCAAGCCATGCAGTCAAACACCTAGAATCCAGATGCCTTAACCATCACACCACCACTGGCCCTATAATTTAACCCTATTGGAAAGCTGATATAGTCGATCTAAAGGAAAGAGAAAACTGCTTGAGTTATATGGCAGGGGTTACAAATTGAGCACAGAGGTACAGAAAGCCATAGAACAGAATAGCAGTGAATTCTGTAACTTTAAAAGACACCATAAGAGCAGCTGTTTCCTGAGAGCTGACCACAGGGGTGGGGTGGTCACTCCTATGTGACACACAGTAGGGGAAATCAGTTTTTTGATCAATAAATAAAAGAAAAATGAAGGGAGGAATGACATTTAGTGTTTGCTTCTCTGTTTTCCTAGTGGTGCTTATTGTGTGGGTCAGAATGAGAACTCTCATGATAAACAGCCCAGAAAGAAGGGGAAATAGGGAGAGAAAGCTTGTTTCTGGCTATGCCAACTTTTAATCACTCATTAACAATTTCCCCCATGAGGATCATATTTGGTAGAGAGGTAACATCTGTTTGCAAGACTGTGTCCTTGGGATACTGCCAGAAAAATCTTGACACTCTGAAATCTGTCACACTGCAACACACACGTGCAGTATCCTCACCCCATGGCCCATCAGATTGGTTAGGTATGACATGTGGGCCTACAAAGTGGATGTTAAGGTGAACCTGAATGGTAGACACAGGACAGGTGTTCCAATGTCTCAAGGTTGATGAACTTGGGGAGATCAGGATTTTGGTTGGGCAAGGTTCTGCCACCTGCAGGTTCTGCACTCTCCTCACTGCCTTTAACCATCCAGCTTCTCAGGTATGGTTCTTGCTAAAAGCAGAACAGAGATGGAGCTATAGACCTTACGGGTTGTCAGTGGAGTCACCCAGGGGATGCCCCTAGTGTCCATGTTCCAGGAAGAATGTGACAGATGTCTGGTCATGAAGGATCATGGTTTGGGGTGGGGATCAGAGTGGGGCATGTTGCAAACCTGACTTCTTCTCTCCTCCAGCAAGCATCTGTGGTTGGTGGCAGATGTTGCAGGAAGGTTAGGGGTAGGATGTGAGAGAATTCCTGTCCTCTGCCATCTCTGTGCACAGTTAGCCAGCAGCTCTTAGTTGAAGCTCTGGCTGCCCTGTTGCTAAAGCAGCCATTCATTTTTTCCATGCCCTTTCTGTGTCTATCCCCCACCATGGAGGGTAAGGACAGTAAGGTCAGAACATAGGCTTTGGGAAGCATCAACCCCTGGCCTTGGCTCTTCTATTTCTAGAGAACCTCATCAGGCAACGAACACCTCAGAAAGAACTTGAGAGAGGGAGATATCTTCAAATGATCCCAATGCCCCTGAGTCTGCATGGGTGTCAACCTTTGCAGAGCAGAACTCTCCCAAATTGCAAGGGGAGGAAGGAGGTGGGTGATAGGTCCTTGGGACATGTCTTAACCAGAGCTTACTGGTTACCAGGTAAAGGCAGCACATGAGAGGCTCAGCAGGTACAAGGAGGACACAGCCATCCATGGGCTGGGTCATGGCTTGAGTACTAAGAGGGTGGTGGGAAGGACAGAGGCCAGAGCTGGAGTCTCTGTTCCAGCTGGAGTCTCTGTTCTGACCTTGGGCAAGAATGAGTTGGTGCTCACAGTACCTGTCATATGCTGACTGCACATGGACAATGGGGGATCTGAGCATCTGTAAGCTGCCCATGGATGGTTGGGAGGACTGCACCCCACCTCTCCTGGTCCTGGTTCACGCCTGCCTCTTCCCTGTCTCCTTTCCAGGTTTGGCTGTGCATCAGATCATCACCATCACCGTCTCCCTCATCATGGTCATAGCTGCTCTGATCACAACTCTTGTCTTAAAAAATTGGTAAGGCTCCTCAGGCCCTTCTGGCCTGGAAATGGGGGGGCAGTCAGGGTTCCAGGGGAGGTACCCAGAGAAAAGCCCCAGCCTCAAGTCAGAGCTGTGGGAATTATTTTCTCCTTTGGGCTGGAGGGGTTGGCTCAGTCCACCTACCCCTGGGCAGTGTGGCCGCCAGAGGCTCAGATCTGCTTTTTGGACTTGGCCTGTCACTGTGGTTTTCTGTGCAGAATTCCAGCAAGCCCATCCTTCATGCCATAGTTCTCAGGCTGCATGTTGCTCCTGTTTTGTAATTCTTTCTTTGGACCCAAGAGCATCTTTGGATATTGCCCACCCACAGTACCATCCCTATGTCTTATTTCCTCTGTACCTTCCCTGGAAAGGTAGGGAAGGTGCCCTCATGGCCAGCAGGATGGCTGGATCCTATACCCCTACACCCTCCCCTCGCTGTCTCCGACAGCCACTGGCTGGGGCAGC